GGACATTCTTTTAGGTATGAAAAGTAGGACATGTCCGGGAAAAAGAGGAGGTCTGGTAGCCCTAGTCCAAGGAAAACCAGCTGACCAACCAGGGCTGCTGGTGGATCATCAGTTTACATGATGAAGGAGGGAGAAGGACAGTTATTTCATGCAAATATCCTGCTAAACATCTACTAGCGTTTAGCTGATATTAACCCTCTGATAACTGCTGTTTTGCTGTTGCCTGGTCTGGTTGGTAGAGGTAACTGCTCAGCCCTGTGAGCTTCTGGCTTAGTTGTTTGGTGTTATTTACAGACACACAATGGGCTCAATAAATGCCGGATGAATCTTGATTTATTTTTTCTTGAAAACATAAAAAGAAATACATCAAAATAATAAACTTACAGTCGTGCTCCGTTTCAGACAGCACCCAGCTGGGCAGCATCATTAATGATGCGATTCCCCCCCGACATTGAGGAAGAATAACTAGGTAGTTGTATCCAGCAGATAGCTGTCTTATTTTATTCAACAGGTTAATAATAATCTATCGTTAATTTGAACTATTCAGTTAGAAACCTTTCTGCAAAAAACGAGAAGACGGGAAAACTTGGTCACCATATTGGACGCCTCACTCCTCTTTCTCCTTCCTTTCTGTTCTTTTTTGAAACCCAGGCCATTTCTCAATATGTGTACTTGTGGGTTCTCATGTGCTCATGTACTTGTAAAACGTCATCAGCCTCAGCACTAGTGCTGTTTCGAATTCACAAGAACAGCAGCCTGAGAACAGATGAAATCTCCTGAAGTTGTTCTCACCCCTCCCTATTTACCCAGCATGCATCAAAGCAGACTTGTCTATTCTTGAGATTGACAGCTGTCCCAGCATGCACTGCAGCAGCAACAGCTTTCAATGCAGCGCTCACAGAGCTCAGAGTATTAAGTTTAAAGTTCTCTTTTATGTTGCCGTTATTCAATAAAAGTATGTGTGAAGGACCGCTGGCGTGTGAAGGACCGCTGGACCGTGTGAAGGACCGCTGGCCTTGATGGTGATTTTTTTTTGTTTTTTGTTAAAATTTTCATTTGATTTGTGTTTATCTGACTGTGTTTATTATTATTCACCCAATAAATGAAAAGAGTCAGAATGTATTATTAGCTAGAGACTATTAATAACAGGAGGTGAAATGCAGCTCCAGAGGAGCCGAGCGGGTGGTGACGTCATCAGTACGCTTCTGTTCCGTTCTCCCAGAGTCCACACTTTCCTGTGTTCTTCTCAAGAACATACTTGGCAAGGAGTCCGTACTCATGTTCTTGTAAATTGAGAGACGGCCTCAGACTTTGGGGTGCCGCACTTTTCAGCCATGCATGGTTTTACCACACTGCTGCTTATTTACACATTTTGTTGTTATTTTTTTGTTTTCCTTGATTATCACTACGCCAAATACGTTTGTGTGGCATTTAAGCCCCAGTACGAACGAACTGCCGGTGACAGACGGGGAGCCCTGATACGATGCCGGCAGGACCTGATGACCAAACAATTTCACGAAAAATATAGCTGGACAAATCTTTTCTTTTGGGCTCAGTCAAGGGCCCTTAGAATCATCGTACATTTCCACCCACCCCCAATACGGCACCTCTGAGTAAAGGAATTGACTTTTTTATTTATTATTTTTGGTTTTTACTGTACTATGGCTCATTTTCTTGTTTTTGTTTTTTGGACAGTAGGCTAACAGGAAAGGGGGTATGAGAAAGGGGGAGAGACATGCGAACCCAGGTCGGCCGCATTGAGGACTAAGGCCTCCGTGCATGGGTCGTGTGCATTAACCACTGCGCCACCAAAGAACGCCCAGAACATTTTTTATATTACAATTCTACCAAACGGGAGCATATAGTATAAACAGTATAACCATTTTAGTCTATCAATAAATCAGGAAATTTGATCTTGAACCACAGAAATAGTTTGGTTTTAAATTAATCATTAAAGCTGCAGAGATCCAGCAGCTCCATTAGTGACACTAAATGGTCTAAACTAAGCAATGGCTACTAATTTTATAGTCCATTGTTCATTTTAAAACATAAATTAATCACTTGTGTAATGTTTATTGTGACTCATTTATGATTCTCTCCCCACTTCCTCATGAAACTATTAATAGGAGGTCTAATCCCAGCAAGCGCTTACTGGTGGAGCAGCTGAGGAGGAGACGCATGAACCCAGTTACCTTAATCTGGTTCCTCAGCTAGAAGTGGAAATGAAGCAGCATGGAAGTTTAATGTTTTTACAGCTGAAGCTTTGGATTATTTCACTACTTGACTAATCTACTGATTTTTTTTCCATTTCTCAATTAATCTAAAAATAGATACTTTTAATAAATTAAAATCAGAAATTACTTATTTGTATAAATTTGATTAGTGCGTCATTTTAAAAGGTCCTGCTCTCCATTCCTGACTATTTTCAGTGGAGACCTAAACATTTATGACCATGTCCACCGTTAGCTAAACGTACTGCAATGAGCTGCTCTAACAATTTAAACATCAGCTGCTTATTATGATCAACTTTGGCTGCAACACGTTCCTCTGCCTGCTGAGAAAAGTAGGCCATGAGAGACAATCTGCTGTTTATCACACCTCCTTCTCTGTAGCTTCACGCACTCATACAGCTTTCACCTTCAGCTTCCCTCGGTTCGTAAAGCGGCCCACTTTGCCTCCCGTTTATCTCACAGTTGCTCTACTTTCTGTCTGCTGTGGGACGTCACCTGAACAGGCGAGGATGGCTTTTTGTTTTATGATGTTCGCACCGTCTCCAGACGAGAGGATTGCTGAAAAACGGCTTTAAAGTTGATGGCTTTTATTGCTTTAAAATTAGGAAACTTTTAGGGGTGTGGATGATGCTGGTCAGTTTCTGACTGAGGGCCAGCTTCATGCCCTCATTTGTTTTTTATATATTTTGCATTATTCCTCAGCTTATGTATTCAGGCTTAACAGAAAGACAACAGCAGGTCACAGCAGGTCTTTTCCCTCCCATCTTAACAGCATCTTTGTTTTTTATATATTTTGCATTATTCCTCAGCTTATGTATTCAGGCTTAACAGAAAGACAACAGCAGGTCAGGCTAAACATGGAAACCTTTGGAATAACAACACTAAGTAGTTATTCCAAAAAAGTTAAAAAACAATCCCCTGGACTTTGTTTCCAAGTTTGAAGACGTTTCCCTTCCCATCCAGGAAGCTTTTTCAATTCAAAATGTGACATATAGCGTTGAGTTTGAGGCTTTATAGAGTAGAGTAAACCAAAAACAAAGGCTTAAAAATCATGCAAATTGAATCAGAAGAACGGGTCCACCGCTTAGATTATATGGTCGTTTGGGTTCTTTGTTAGCCTGTAATACCCAATACCTGTCTATGTCTCTGAAAGGGGGTCATTGGAGGGAATTATTGGCCTGGCTGAACTAGCGAGGTTTTCTGTTCCCTTGTTAGGGGGTGGGGGTTGTGATGATAGCGGAAAGGAATCAACTCTGTCGCTGAATTGTAGGTTTTTGAAAGCTGAAACCTAGTTATGGATTAATAAGGCATCTTCAAGTGTTTCCACATGTTGCCAAACTGGATTGATGCTGCATTGATACTGTCTCACAGAATACTGACACCTGCTGGACCTTTAAAGACACTACAGGCAGCTTATTGGACAGACTAAACTGAATTGATTTGGTAACCTAGTACAATGATATAATTTAAGTTATTGTATGTTATATTGTATTATTTCATATCTATGTTCAAATGGAAAATATCTTTGATATTTTTATATGCAGCCAATAAATAATGTAAACATATATCATAACGTGAAAATGTAGGGGAAAATGTGAATGAGGATGTTTGTGGATTAGGATTTTAAATCATATTTTTAAAGCAATAAGTACAGTAAAAACTAAGAGTCAATTTGAATTGAATTGAAAATTAAATACAAAAAAAATCTTATACTTTATGAACTTTAAAATAATCTGAGAAAACATCTAAATAATTCTCAAAACTTTTCATTAAAATGTTTCATTTCTTTGCTTTTCTTTATATATTTTTTTATCAGATTTCCGTTTATGAAACGTGTTCATTGCCTGAAACAAGTATCCCTCCATGTCATCAGTGATGGACTCTTCCTGTCTGTTTGAATGCAGGTGTCTCCTCTGCATCCTTGTTGCACTCCAAGTCGCTGCGGGGCCACAGAGACTGCTTTGAGAAATGCCACCTGATCGCCAATCAGAAGCTGTCCCATTCCAAGGTGTCCAGAAGCGCCTATGAGGGCATGAAGCTGGCCCTCAGCCAGAAACTGACCAGCATCATCCAGTTTGCCCAGAATAAAGACTCGCTCTCCTCCAACGGCTGCGGCAGACGGGGGGCCAAGCTCCTCTGTTACAGCCAGCAGGGCGAGCGCAAGCTGCTGCCGCAGTCTGACGCTCAGGTGCCGCGCTACGCCCCCTGCTGGGACAGGGCCAAAGAAACGGGCCTGGAGAGACAAACGGCCGAGGAGGTGGATCTCCTGCGTGCGTCTCAAAGCGAAGGTTGGAGCAGAGACGGAAGGAAGGATGGACACGGCTGGACGCAGCCTTCAGGACAGAGGCAGCAGAGACGCCAGGGCCACAGCAGAGAAGAACGTAAGGAAAATCAGTCGAAACCTTTTATACTTTCTGCTCATTAGACTAAAGAGGTGTAGATTTTCTCTTCCACTCAGTCAAAGTAGAAAGTTTAGAGAAAGAAATACAGGTATTCTCCTTTTGTCTCATACAGAACATTCTCTGCTTAACGTCTTAACTCTGAAGGCTGAATTATACTCAGAATCCAGGTCGTCTGTGTGTGTCGCAGTGAACGCAGATATGCCCCGCCCCTTCTGCAGACACTCTGCTGCACCTCTCCAAAACTATAGGTGAATGTAGACAGTAGGCCTCCGATTGGTCAATTCTACATCCGCTCTACACTTTGCATATTTCTTCTTTGGTACCTTACCAACTTGTTTTGTTTGTATGACCGCCATTGTGGAAAACCACGTGAAGATGGACCAGCTAGAAGATCAAGCTGCGCGAAAACCAGTGTTAATTTCTTCAGCTTTTTTAAATTTAGTCTTAGTCATATTTAGTCATTGCCTTCCCAATTTAGTCTTAGTCTAAATGATGAAAATCTATTTTAGTCTTAGTCAAATTTGAGTCATTTTAGTCAACACTGTAAATAGTAAAATTTCTCCACAGACCGATTCTCTTTTTAAATATATCCCACTGCACACATTGAAACTTTTGTCAGCTTGTTTCATCATATCCACAAAGTCTTTATCCTGAATAGGCCTTGCAGGCAGGCCAGAACGCCCCATCCACTTTTCCATGGAGTTCTCCAGGGCTTTCTGCTCTTTGGTGTCAGGGTTGTACGGTGGGGGGGGCTCCCAACATCTCTGCAAACAGACTTCCTGTCCTTCCCCAATGTCTGACTTGGCTGTGGTGTCAGTCATTATCATGCAAGTTGTTTTGTTTTCCTTCGCGTTGTACACGAAATGGCTCCATACGTTCAGGCGTTGTTTTCGCCCAGCTCCTTCAACAAACTGTACACCAGTATCTGAGCCCGACGCCATGACTGGGTAGTTGAGCAAGCCACGTTTAGGTACTACCAGTGACCAGCATAAGCCCTCTGCTACTACTGAGTGAGCGGCGCAAGGCACTGTGGGACAGGCGCCGTGTAGGGACAAACAGGGCAACGACGCATAATCTTCTATGACGTTAAAGAAACACTTATATTAACAATTACAAATTAATTATAAACAATAACATTTTTTTATGTCCATTCGTCCATGGCTTGTATATTTCGTCTGGTCTTGGTGTCGTTGACGGAAATAATTTTTTTGTCTTGTCATATTTTTATTTTTTGGAAACAATTTTTGTGCGCCATCGTCTCGTCATCGTCAGGGGAAAAAGGGGCGTTAAAGAAATATTTGCGTCATCATCCTGGTTGGCGAGAACGCTGGGACCCTTTTTCCTCCTGGATCCCCGCTCTTTTTCGCCCTCATGTCCCTCCATTGTCGCACAAACTTGCCCCCACTTCCTCGCCGCCTCGGCCGTATCTAGACCCACAGCTAGTTCCTGATTGTCCCTCTTGCGTTGTGGCGTGGAATAACATAGCGCAGACCACGCTTCGATATTGGGCATAAATCAAAAATATCTGTGACAAGCTCACTGCGACACACTGCGGGGAGTATAACCAGCCCTTTACATCACCAGAGTTGTAGCAGAAGGTGCTGATTTAACTCTAATGCCATGAATGGCGACAGATTCTGTAGATCGGTCTGATAGTTTCTAACCCTCTATACGGCGTTTCTCTCCTAGTGACTAAGATGAACACGGATGAGCTCCATCAGCTGAACGGACGACTGCTGAAGCAGATTGAAAGTAAGTTTTGTTTCTTAGAAATAGGATCAGATTCTCCCGGATAAATCTTAACCTCCTGTGTCGATGACTTCCCGCCTCCATAGAGGTCTTCGAGGAGCTGACAGCTGCTGTGCAGGAGAAGGACGCCCTGGCGTCAGAGCTGCATGTGCGTCACATCGCCATTGAGCAGCTCTTTAAGAACTGTGCCAAACTGCCCTGGCTGCACATCAGCAGGGCCAGCGTGAAGGCCAGCAGCAGCAACGGCGCCGCCGCCGTGGAATGAGGAGCCGGAGGACGGCAGCTGGCCGAAGGTGAAGAAATGGTCTGCTGCAGCGCGCAGGAGGCTGAAAGCATCTGGATCCTGTTAGACTTTTGCACAGCGGGGCCGTTGGGTCCCGCATAGCATCAAGGGCTCGCTTCAGTTAGTGGTTCCACTGATGTGAGGTTACCGGCGGGCGTCACATGAGTTCCTGCTCTGGTTATGACTCTCTGATTACCCAGGGTTTAAAAAGACCACGGCCTTAGGATGGAGGAGTTTTAATGAGCTGCACAAAAAACAGACTTCAGTGGTGAATTTTATTCTTTATCGTCCTCAATTATTCAGTTTTATATTTCAATACAGTTTTTACTTTTCTAGAATGAGGTTTCTGATTATTTCTCACTTCTTTAAAGGTTAAAGATTTCAGTCAGTATTTAGCTGATAATAAAAGAAAACTCTTCTCCTTCAGTCAAACGTCCCCTGGATGAACACTAATGCTCGAAATTCCCTGAAATGGTTTGAAATGAGCCCGATGTTTGCTGGAAACTGGTCTAAAATGTTTGCTAAACATTTTAAAGGACTGGAACTTAGTACTAAAAGCCTCTAGGGGGGGAATTTTGTTCCACTATTTATGTTGGAAAGGGACACAGTTTGTAAATGGGGGGAAAAAAAGCAACCCAGAAACAAAACATTGAAAAACCTCTTGTCATTAAAAAATGTCTTTAATTTAGCTTTAGCAGATTTTATTATTTTTATTTTTCTGAAGTTTTATCAACAGAGCAAAATTCAGATTAAGTTTTACAGAGCCTGCCCTTAGGTGGGAAAATAACCTGATCTGTAAAATTTAAATCTGATAAATTTGATAAAAGTTGAAAATGTTAGGTTAAAAAAAAGGTATTACATAAAAAAAAAAGAAAGAAAATAAAGAACTTTCAAAACTTTTTTTTATTAAGAAATGTTTGAAATTTCAACAATAATGGACCAAAATTCTCTCCATAGACTTCCCTCACCTCCTCCATCTTGGATCTGTAAACAGACCATCGCACATTTCCTCTGACTTAAATATATTAAAGAATCATGATATCTACATATATGTAGATATTTATATGGTCACACTTAATTATGACCATATAAATGGTCATAAATTAGTGTCTCTTCTCTAAAAGCTTTATTTTAAACCATATTTCCATCATGAACCTGGTCCCTGTTCCGTTCAGCTGACTATTTTACTCCTGGATGGAGATGGATTAAGGGTGACCTCTGACCTCCTGCTGAGAAACCTGCTTCATTTAAGCCAAACACCTACAGGTCCTCACAGTTAACAGTGATTAAACTAAAATAAGCTCCTCCTGTTGGGGTTTGAATCGTAGCGTCGGTGTAGAACCTCCCACGACAGGCGGCTCTATTTCCTACCAAAGAAAACTGGACAAAAAGCTGCAAAGGTTGGATTTGGCGTCTGATACAAAAGGTCATGGATGGAGCGGCTGTGGGCGGAACCTAAAACTTTAGCTGAAAGATAATCTGAAAAAAAAAAGAAATCAAACTGCTGCAGAGTCAGTTTTACTTTAGTGAGTTTTCATTGAGAAACGGCTTGTTGGCTCATCACCCTGTTGCCTAAGAAGTGTTATTTTAACCCCCTTCTTTGTAAAATCTATCATTTCTGGTGGGATTTCATTTGATTTGTGGTAAAGCTGTCGACACTTCTTGGTTCCTGTCAGATCAAGAACACATGAGAGGGAAATCCATTCGTTAAACCAAAGTTTGTTATCCTTAAACCAGAATGAGCCCATGTTAAACCCCCCCAGCTGAAGGTTGCTTAGGGCTCACCTTATTGATAACGAGTTTCCCTCCCTGCTGTTTCAGCGTGTCTACATAGCAATACAAACATGGCGTTTGGTCTGCAGTGCCTGTAGATGTCCCTAATGTTTAATCAAAGGAACTTTATGCAAGACGCATCTAAACGAAAAATCAAAAGGCCTTATTGGGAAAGATGATGGTTGGACTTTTCCTCCCAGGTGGTTTAGAGTTTTCTAAGCTGGTATAAAGCAAACTTAGAAAAAATGCAGCATTTCTGCGTTGGGCTCTCTTTGTAAGAGAATAGATGTTTTTTACCCTTTTTAGGGTCTAAAGTTATGGTTATAAACTTGGTTTTGAACTTTTTCTTATGGTTTTATTTGGACATGTAGCCTGCCTGAGTGTGTTTATTAAAGCAAATATTTAGTCCTTTCATTTTTAGTTGAGTATCTGTTTTCGTGGATGTTTTTGGACCTATCTTCGCCGGGAGAACCAGTCCGTTTCTTTTCAATCGGATTTGAGTTACACTTCTACATTAGTTGTAGCCTGACCGTACATTTCTTTACATTTTTTCCATTGATGCATTTTTTAAATTATATTTATTGTGTGGAAATATTATGTTTGAATTGTGTAGACAAATCTTTTTCAATAAAATAAAAATACAGGTATTTTTTACAGAATCTGGTGTAAAGTGTTTTTTTTTCTCTCTAAATGCCATTTTCAAATAAGGGATTTAAATATAAAATATGGTACAGTGCCTTTATAAACGTATTTATATTTTACTGTTACACTTAGTTTAATTCTACACTTTGCTCTTCTAGTCCAGTGTTTTTGTCTGTTTTCCTACCAGTTTTACACATAAAGGCTGAAATATGTGTCAGTTCTTTTCTACTAATTACCTGATTATTAGATTTAATCTAGAGCCTCTGAATATTGATCCATTCTTGCATCAGACAACTGATAAATACGCTTTATTCCATATATCTATTCCAAATCCGCTCTTGCTGCATGGAGTTTGCATGTTCTCCAGGTACTCCAGCTTTCTCCCACAGTCCAAAAACATGACTGTTAGGTTACTTGGTTTTCTAAATTCTCCTCAGGTGTGAGTGTGTGCGTAAATGGTTGTTTGTCTCTGTGTTGCCCTGACATGGACTGGCGACCTGTCCAGGGTGGACCCCGCCTCTCGCCTTTTGACAGTTAGAGATAGGCACCAGCACCCCTCGCGAGAAAATGGATGGGATGCAGTTTTCCCTCCAGGAGAATTGGAAAGCAGTCGTTGCTATGGCAACACCGTGGCGCCCCATGTACACGGCTTTAGCTCTGTGGCACAGGTTGGCATGAAATCAAGCCTTTGCCCCTTTCTTAAAAATAAACTTATACAGTTGAATAAAACAATTAGTGAATGTCGCCCATAATCCCTTTATCGAGCAGGGACTATTTAATGGAGTAACTGACCTTTGGACAGATTGACTGGTGACTTGTCCAGGGTGTAACCCGCCTTTTATGCATGGGCTGCCTTAGACCCACCATGACCCTGAACATGAAGCAGGAGAAAATGGACAGACTCTCCCCCCATAAAACATAAAAACCTTTTTTTAAAAGAGTAGGAATTATTTATTAGCCTTCTTTTTTGTTGTGAATAAATGATTGTGGTATTTTTGTTGTCAGTCTTTGTTTAATATACCTACTTTAAAATCTCAAAGTAGAATATTCCACCTAATGGTGTCTGCTATCACCCTGTGGTTTAGAGAGGGACATCTTGCTCCAGAGGTGTGTGAATTCCATTCAATTCAGTGTATTTATTCAGTACCAATTGAACCCATGTCATGGCACTTTAGAGCGGCAATTTAATCAGATCAAACAGTCAGATTAATTTTAAGTTTTCTATCTAAGGAAAAAAAGCCGGTTGCATCAACACATTGACTATGACAATACCTCACACCAAAGCATGCTTGTAGCAACAGGGGGAAGGAAAACTCCCTTTTAACAGGAAGTAACCTCCAGCAGAACCAAACGAGGCTCAGTGTGAGCGGCCATCTGCTGAGGCCGACTCTGAAGATGACAAAGAAAAAGAAGCAGAGATACAAAAGGCAACTGTTAACTAGCTCCACAGGCGGCCCTGTCCAGGAAACAAACAGCCAGGCAGACGAGCTCTGAGCCAGCCCCCATGTCAGAGGATGAAGAGAGCACATACATTTAAGGGTTGAACTAAAAAAAATACTGCAGAACGGGAAAACAGAGAATTTAACAAGGCAGAATGATGAAAAGGGGTCCCCATGTCCTCCAGCAGTCTAAGCCTATAGCAGCATAGCTATAGAGATAGCTCAGGATAACCTGAGCTACTCTACCTAAAAGCTTCATCAAAAAGGAAATGTAAAGCCATAAATGTTTTTCCTTATGTAAAGAAAAAGAAAACAAAGCGGTAAGAGTGTCTAAGATTGCTTATCAGAGCTGATTAAACTAGCTGGAGAGGCCATTTTGTCCTCTTTTGAAGTTAATTGCAGATGTTAAGTGGAAATGAAACGGTAAACTGAACTAATTTAATTAACAAGATTTTGTCTGACTATCACCCACAATCACTTTACAAGTATGAAAAATACATATGTATAAAACAAAGAAGCAAGCCTTTATAATTTTTGGGATGGGTGCCACCATCTAAGTGGTGACATCACAAGGTTGGTTCTGTAGTTTCCAGTTGAATACATTTGTAATACCAACTATACCTCACAACCATAAAACACGTTGGCATGATGAAGCCGAAAGGCCACTTGAGCGTCCAAATCCCTCTGATCTAGATTGCTTATTCACTGTGTGAGTCAAGGTGTGGGAAGGAGAGAAGAGGCAGATGTGGAAATTATTTGAAGCAGAAGACTTTTGAGTCTGGCAAGCTAGCGGTTCATCGTACGAACAGACTAAAGCTTCAAGCTGCTCCGAGTGTCTTTAATGTCACTGCCTTTAAGCTGGGCTCTACTGGTCAGCAGGTCAGCTGCATCAATTAGACATAATGACAGGGTGTGAAAAAGTAGCACGTTTTCAAGGAGTGACATACTGAACATTTTAAATGCATAAAATTCTAGGAAATTTTTTTTTAGATGAGTGTCTTGTTTGAGAACTTCTATTTCAGTTTGGTAAATATCTAACTTTAATTTTTAAAACCATTAAATAATGAAAAGGGGGGGTTCCTCCTTTTTTACCATGTCTAATATACAGGGTGTGTTTGGGAATCATAACAATCATGATTCAGTGATGATCGCAGCTATTTTCCAAACTCACACAAAGCAAGTGGTTTTTATAAGGGATTTTTTTTAATCTTCCCTTTATTTTAAAACAAATGCTTAGAAAATAAGTCATAGATAACTAATGAGTGTTTTTTTTTGCACAACTCTGTTTGTAATCAAATACTGCCCCCTGCAGTCATATTAACGGAAGAGGATTAGGGCCACTGAAAAAATAAAAAAGTGAACTGATTTTTAAATATTATTGAATCTCAGAATTCTGACTTTAATCTCAGAATTCTGACTTTAATGTCAGAGAAATGTCAATTCTGACTTTAATGTCAGAATTTTGGATCTTGTAGATGGGCACCATGAAGGCAGAGATGTGAGTTGTTTGGGAGGGCCAGTAACACACTGGTGGAAAAGGTGACTTTTTAAGTGCCAGAGGGGTCCCCGATGATGCTATTTCATTCATTGAAATGCAGAAGGTGATTAAAACAAGAGAGGTTTTTATGTCTGCTTTAGTCTCTAAAACAGACATGGCTACTGCATGATGCTAACATGTTTGTTAGCTGTCAGAATTCAGTCAGAATTCTCAGATTAAAGTCAGAATTATTAGATTAAAGTCAGAATTATGAGGAAAAAAAGTCAGAATTATGAGATTAAAGTAATAATTCTGAGATTAAAGTCGGAATTATGAGAAAAAAGTCAGAATTCTCAGATTAAAGTCAGAATTATGATATCAGAGTCAGAATTATGAGGGAAAAAAGTCAGAATTCTGAGAAAAAAGTCAGAATTTTGAATTCTTTCTCAAATTATACTGACATAAAATCTTTTAATCAGTTATCCTTTCTTATTTTTTCAGTGGCCCTAATCTGTACAGACCTCCTTTAGTGGCGCTACCATCTTCTGTTGATCAGCCTGAGTACTGAAACCCTGTGCAATAAACTGATAAAGAAGGTTATCCTTGGGACAACTTTATAGAATCATTTGAGATTATTCCTGTATAAAATACTCTTCTTAAAATGATGAAAATTAATCTGAGCATCCCCCCATCAGTTGTTCCTACAGCTTCAAGACTTTCTTGAGTATATACTTAATCTATAAAGAGCTTTAAAACAGCCTCAGCTGAACTAAAGCTGTGATTATAGTGAAAATGTAGTTTTTTCCACTGTAGTGTTGTAGTAAGCACAAACCAGGATTAACAACTCTTACAAAAAAAAAAATCTGTAAAACACAGGTAACTGTTTTTTTCTTCCTTTTTCTTATTGATTTTTACATTGTAATAAAAAGTTGGGCAGGATACCAACAGGTTTCTGGGGATAAACACAAACAAAACACCAAACTACGAAACAAAGCAAGAAATGATGCTAAAATGATCAAACACTTTTCAGTAATACCCTTTTATACTAAAATCAAGGCTATCTTTACATTTAATAGTTAATGAACATCTCTTCTCGCGTTTGTCTACATTACAGTGGTGAGAGCAACTCCCATTCTAACAAATATGAGTCATAAAAGTAATTTGACTCAACATTTGATTGGCAGATATTCGACCAATAAACGGGAAGAATATATTGTTTTTAACCAATGAAAAACATGTATGGGCGGGGTTAAAGTTCTATTCGGCTGAGTAATGAAGCTTTTCTGAAGCCTCATTCACTTCCATTCATTTCTAGCTCACGCTGCGCGGGTCGTTTGTGCTAAAACAGGTAACCACCGTTTACATGTTCTGTTGTCTCCTATCGAGTATATAACCGTTAATATTACAGCGTTGTAACTGTTTTATGAAGTTATTGATTTTGACATTGTAGCCGTAGCTATTTGTTTAAGTTGTTAGCAAGTTATGAATGCTAGCTAACGTGGCGTGGCGATTATTTAGCTAAAGGTTAGTCATTTGTATTAAGTTAAGAAAGTATATATTTTATGAATATGCACAACTAAGTTTGAATTATTGTTAAAACAGTGATACCAAAATGTATTTCTTTTTTTTAACCGTTTTGGACGCTAGCTAGAGCCGTTAGCTTTAGCTAACACCAGCTAGCTTTGTTATGGAGCGTGCTGTGCGGGAACCAACGGAACTTCTGCGTCACAGCCCGCCTTTCCAGGACCCGTTAGATCAACAGATCGCTGAACCAGACAGACTTTATCCCATTTCAACAAAGAAGTCGTTGATTTAAATTACACCAGCATCCCTTATCATTCAGGAGGAAAGTCCTTAATCGGGAATATTAGCAGCAGTGTCGTACGTGGAAAAACTAAACAGAGTAATGGACGCCCGCTGTGTGTGTGTTTGGACACAAAGTGAGGCTCATCCTGTAGCTGGACTTCAAGGGTGTAACTTAGTGATGAAGGTTGGTGAGGACTCTAAGGGTGGAGGCTGATGGAGCTACACTTACTCCACCTGAATGATTTTATTAGGTTTTTATATTTTCAAAAAAATGAGCTTAAACATCTATTTATTGATACCCTCCTATTGTTAAGGACACAAGAGATCCATAACACACTGATATTTATAGATAGTTAGAGAGATGCCTTATATATATATATATATATATATATATATATATATA